CTTCCCCCCACTGCGTCCCCCCATCCCCCTGCCACATCCCCACCACGATGGGATGTCCCCACTGCAGTGTCCCCTGCCTGATGCCCACCATGGTGGCACTTGCCCCGTCCCCCACCATGGTGGCACCTGCCTGATGCCCCATCATGGTGGCTCCTGCCCCATGCCCTGCTGTGCCACTGGGTCCTCACCACTGTCCGCCGACTCTGTGGGCCCCGACTCGCCCTCCGAGTCAGAGTAGAAGGGTTTCTCCACCTTCTCCTTCCTCTTCTCCCGGCTGGTGCACTTTGTCCACTCAGGAACCTGCTGGCACAGGGCTGCTGGAGCAGAGCCACCGCCTATGGGTGGGGGGGCCCCAAACAGCAGCCCTTGACCCACTCCTGTCCCCAGGCGAGTGTGTGGGCATGAAAGAGGGGACATGGGGCAGCTGAGCAGCGCTTGGGCACCTTCTGAGGGTCTCGCAAGACCTTGAGGCAATGCCCCCACCTCAGCCTCCCCATGCATCCCAGCACCCTGGGGTGCTCCACGCACCTCCACGTTCCTCACAGAGGGGTCAGGGGCCTCGTCTGGCCAGTCGGGCAGCTCCTGGTAGCCCACAGCCTTAGCGTTGAGCAGGTGGGACAGGGAACCCAGCTGGAAATGATCTCGATCTACAGCAGGGTGAGAGGTGGCAGCAGCTCAGGGACAGCCATGCAGCACTGTGGTGACAACTGGCCCCATGTCCGCATGCCCTGCGACCAGGAGTGGGTACCTTTGAAGGAGGACTCCAAGATGGGAGCAGGTTTTTGGGCCAGGAAGAGCTTCTTGGCGTACTTGTTGAGTGCCCCACTCTTCTCAGTGGGCACAATGAGCTGGCGGATGAAGCGAGCCCGGTCACGGATGTCATAATTCTGGTCGTACTTGGCCAAGTTGAGGATGTACTGGGTCAGCAGCTTGCTCTGCGCCAGGGGACATGCTCAGGGCCAGCCTCTCCCTCCCCACTGGGGAAACCGAGGCATGCCGTGGGGCCACATCCCTGGTACCTGCTTGGAGTTGGTCAGGTACAGCTTAGCTGCCAGGTTGATGACCTGCAGCTTGACGATGTCCTCCTCATTGGTGAAGGACTTGGCCATCTTGCGCAGCACGTCAGGTGCGATCTTGGGCACGTGCTCGCAGTACTCGCCGATGAGCCACAAGATGCTGGCCCGCGCCATTGGCACCTGCAAAACATGCCCGGGCACGTGGCACTGATGCCACCCCCCTGGTCTCAGGGGCCACACAACGCCCCAGCCCACCTGGATGTTATCGGTGAGCTTGGCCATGTGCTTGATGATCTCGCTGTGCTGGGCTGGCTGCATCTGCAGCAGCTTTTTGATGACCACCACGGATTCGGCCACCACCAGCTCTGCGGGCAGAGATCCATCCTCAGCAGGGTCCTGCCCTGAGAGCAGTGGAGCTCCTGTTTCGCCCCCCATCATGCACGCTCACCATCCCGGTTGGAGAGGAGCTGGACCAGGCCATTGAGGCAGGTGTCCCGCACCTTCCCGATATTCGTGGCACAGCGCCCGATGGCTTGGATGGTGGCGGCCACAAAGTCCTTGTCCATGCTGCGGATGTAGGTCTGTGCAGGCATGGGGGACACACACTACATGTCACCCACATGCTAGTGCTGGGCATCCCTCCATGTGATGGTCACACTTTGGGGCTCTTTGGAGCCACCCGTGGGGTTGGCATGGCCTCAGCCCACTCCTCCTGTGGGGCTCTCTTCAGTCCCCACCATGGTGGTGGTTTGGCCCCCAGAGCCATGCCATGGTGGCACCCCGGTGGCCTCAGTATGGCCATGGCATACCTGGAACTCCCGCAGGATGGTGGAGATGTTGGTCTCGTTGGCCAGGTTGGTGAGGACCTCCAGCTGCAGAAAAGAGGAAGATATGGGCAGCATGGGGGCATGGTGCCAGGGCACAGGGTCCTTGCTGTCCTCCGGTCCCCAGGGCATGGAGGACAGCTGCCCCACAGCAAAGGGCTCCATGAAGCCCCAAAGCCACCAGTGATGGGTTCTGCTGGGTGCTTCCAGCTCACCTTGAGGATCTTGATCTGCGTGGGGTCTGTGGAGCGGATGTAGAAGCTCTTCAGGTAGGGCTCAAACATCCCCTGCATGCAGAGCCAGCAGTGTTAGTGCCATCCCAGTCCCCTCCTCACCGAGGCCACCCAGAGGCAGCTGGCCATGGTGACCCTGCTGGCTAGTCCTCATCCAGCTCCAGAGTCAACAGGGCCAACTCCTCCCACACCAAGTCCAAGACTCACCCGCCGTTTGATGGACATGGTGGCCACGTTCTGCAGTACAACGTACTGCACCTCGCTGTGGGACAAAGAGGGGACCACCATCAGTGGGGCAGGGCCAGACCCCCCAGCACATCACCTTGAAGATGGGGCAGGACCCACCACCAGGCTGGTGCCACCATGATGTTGCCACCCTGTGTCTGGGCTGGGCCCAGGCCAAAAAGCCCTCTTTTTTGGCAGTTTGCCCCAACTGGACATCCCTGCAAGGAAGGGTTTTTTGGGGGTTTCTACCAGGGCTCCCCAAGGGTCCCACCAACCGGGGTGGCAGGGTAGGGTACCACCGCAACCCAGGTGCCACAGACCTGTGACTCCGCAGAAGCCGCACCAGCGCCTTGGCAATGACGCCAACCTCTGCCTTGGGTGCCAGGTGGAAGTAGAGCTGTGCCACGGCCATCACCACCTGTGGGGACACACCTGAGTGTCACCTGGTGAGAATGGGGTACCCCGGGAGATGGCTGTGTCCCCCAGTGTCCCACCCAGAAGCACCCAGAGGAAGTCTGACCCTGAGGATGCCCAAACCTGGGTGTCTCTTCCCTCAAGCACTGTGCTGGCTCTTTGGTTGGTGGGGACATCATGAGCCCAGGCTGCTGGACAATACCAGCGGCCTCCAGGGCCGGACAGGGCTGGGACAGAGGGGCTCACCGCGGCGTTGCGGCTCTGCAGCAGGGGCTTGGTGTTGCGCAGGAGCAGGCGGTGGTCAGGGTCCATGACATACGGCTTGCGTTTGGCCAACGAGGCTGCCTCCGCCTTGGTGTCCTTGGTGTCCTCCTCCTCAGAGCCATAGAAAGCCTTCTCGGTGCTCTCCTCCAGCAGGGACTCCTGCCAGCAGGTGGGACACCTAGAGCCCTCCTCAACAGCACGCCACCCTTCACCCCACCTTCCCGGAGGCTCTCAGGGCACCCCAAGGTTCCCGGGGCACCCCAAGGCTCCCACACTCACGTTCTGGTTGGGGCTGAGGAACTGGGTCCGTGCGTAGCGGGTCAGCATGTTGATGATGACCACCTGCCCCCACTCCTCCACATCAATGAGCAGGTTGCAGAGCTTGCGGTAGTTCTTGTGGATGAGGTCGATGCGCTCCGGGCAGACCTCCTCAAATGCCATCACCACGCTGCCGGCCACCAGCTGGGGAGAGAAAGCCCAGGGTGAGTCACCAGAGTGGTGGCATCTCCATCGTGGTGCTGGCTTGATGGGGATAGCAGTCCCCGTGAGGACGCTGGCCCTGTAGGGACAGCTGTATCCGTGGGTGGATGCTTGATCAGTGGGCACCATGGCACCCACAAGAGGAAGCTGGGCTGGCAGGGATGGCTGTATCTCCACAAGGATGCCAGCTCGGTGGGGACAGTGGCATCCACGTGAAGATGCTGGTTTGGTGGGGATGGTGTCTTCCTCGTGGGGATGCTGGCTCAGTAGAGATGGTGGAATGCCCATGAGGATGCTGGCCCGGCGGGGACAGCAGCATCCCCACAAGGATGCCAGCTCTGCAGGGATGGCTGCATTCCCACGAGAACGCCAGTTTGGCAGAGACGTCTGCATTCCCGTTCAGATGCTGGATCAGTGGGGACACTGGCATCCCCTTGAGGATGCTGGCTTGGTGGGGACAGTGACATCCTCACAAAGATGTTGGCTCCGGGGTTGGCTGCATCCCTGCGCAGATGTTGGATTGGTGGGGACAGTGGCATCCCCACGAGGATGCCAGCCCTGGGGGGATGGCTGCAACACCACGAGGACGCCATGTCAGGGGGGACATAACGTCCCCAAGAGGATGCTGGCTGGGTGGGGTAGCAGCATCACTGCAAGGATGACCGCTCTGCACGGATGGCTGCATCCCCATGAGGACACCAGTTTGGCGGGGACATCTGCATCCCCGCAAGGACCCCGGGTCAGGGGGTCTGGTGATGTCCCCAGATTTAGGGGCAGGGGAGACGCTGCGCCCTGCTCACCGTGGTCTTGTCCGCCAGCAGTTTCTCGATCACTTCAATGAGCTGGTCCTTCTGGTCGGAATCGAGGCTGCGAGGGAAGAACAGGGCAGGTGTGGCCGGACCGAACTCCCTCCCATCCCTGCCCACCCCTGCCTGCACCAAGCGGCTGAGACCCCAGCACTGCACCCTAATTAGCACACTCAGAATTCAGCAGCCGAGCCCCTGTCACCTGTACAGCTTGGGGATGGCATGGGCAGCCGTCTTGCGCACATATGGGGACATGTCTGAGGCAGCCTCCTTGATGGCCAACATCATGATGGGCACGATGATCGGCACGCGGATGCTGGAGAGGACCCGCAGTGCGCTGGCACGGATCAGCTGGTTGGGATCCTGTGGGGGCATGCGGGGGGCTGCAGCGCAGCACTGGGGTCTTGCTGCCCCTCCAGACTCCTCCTGGGTCCCCAAACCAGCTCACCTTGAGACCTCGCTGGAAGGTGGAGATGGAGAGCAGGGCCAGATCCTGCTGCTCCTCTGCGTAGCGCACCAGATAGACGTACACCAGCTTCTTCACCTGACGGGTGAAGGTGGTGGGGCCACCTCAGAGCTCCCCAAAACCCAGCCCACCCCCCAAAACCCTCCTGCAGGGAAGGCATCAGACCCTGGGGACACCCATGGATGCCACCAGGGCCACCCAAGACTTTCCTCACCTCAATGTTCTTGCAGGCAACGTTTTTCACCACGGCTGGGAAGAGGTCAGAGGCGTTTTTACCCCGGGCGATCATCTAGGGGATAAAGGAGTGGTGTGATGCCGGGCGGCCGGCGTGGCACAATGCAGCATGGCATGGCTCAGCACCAGCAGCGGTCCCCGCCGGCGGCAGCAACACCCACCGCCACAATCCTCTTCATGGCCTCCAGCTTGAGTGAATCCTTATTGCTATCGAGCATCTCCTTGAGGTCATCATGCCTGCACCACACCGGGGGAAAGAAAAAACCCAATTTTCCATTTTTAGCCATTTTTCATCATTTTTAGTCTTTTTTTTTTTCTCCCTGCCTGCCATCAGCCTGGCAACCTGATGCTTCGCCATGTAATATTTATGGAGACGGGAGTTGGGTTACAGCCAGGTGAAAGAGGAGCCAGAGGGATCGGTGCGGCGCTGGCACCCAGTTCTGTCCCCATCCTGGGCTCTGGGATGAGGACCCCAGCCCAGCCCGGCTGTGGCTGTCACCCTAGGACATCCCCAGATCGCTTCCCACGGAGCAGCCACCCACCACCGGCTCCATCCCAGCCACCAGCCCAGCTTGGCTGGGTGTCCCTTGTCCCCTCCTGGGCACGGTGACACGGATGCACTGGTGCGCCCCAATGCAGAGCCCTTCCTTGATGCCCTCCCTGGGCTGGGAAAATGCCACCACTGCCCCCTTTTATAAGACTGGTTGTCACTCCTCTTCTAAGGGACATCCATCCCCACCGAACCAGGGGGGACCTGCAAGGCTGTGTCCACCCACCGCAGCTGGGGCTGGCACCCATGGGATGATGCTCAGCCAAAGCCACCATCACCAGAGGGTCCTGGGGAGCTCCTTGGGAGGGTCTTACCGCGGTGGTGGCCCAGTGCTGGTGGCCACCATGGGCTTGGGGCTGGCGAGCGGCCGCAGCTCATCAGCTCGCAGGGCGCTGTAGCAGGCGGGCTGTCCAGCCTCGGTGGCCAGCACTGGGCTCGTCCCCTCCCTGGCTGGGTCACCCACCCAAGG